GGTTAAACCCAACTCTAGCTGAAAATGGCCATCTTCTTGATCACTAAAGCCTACACAGCTACCTCAGCTTACATGCTCCACAAACTCCCAGCCACACTCTGTCGATACACTTCTTCTTGCCATTCCTTTGGCTTCCTTGACACTAAAGTCTCTTAGTTTACATCTCATCCTTCCTCTCCACTGTCTCTGCTGACTGCTTCTAATGGAGTACTATGCAGCTGTAAGAAAGAAAGATCTCTTATCCTTTGAGACGACATGGAGGGACCTGGAGAGTATTACGCTAAGCGAAACAAGCCAAGCAGAGAAAGACAAATACCACATGATCTCACTTATTTGTGAAATATAATGAACTAAACAAACTGATGAACAAAACTGATGTAGAGACATAGAGGTAGGGTACAGACTGACAAACCCCAGAAGAAGGGGTGTTGGGGGGAAAGAGATAAACCACAAAACTTATACGCATGTGTGCATGACCAATGGACACAGACAACAGAGCTGGGGATGGGGCAGGGGGGAATAGGGAGGAGGGTGTCAGTGGGGGGGGGAAGGGAGAAACATCTGTAACGAAACAAATTAGTGAAAATAATTTTAAAAAATAAAATAAAATGAAAGTAGAGATTTTTCCAAAAATACATATACTGTGTTCTCTTCAGAACACTCTTCTTCTACTACGGTCCTCACCAGGGGACCACTCTCTGTCCTCACAGGATGGAGCCTGCATTTGCCACCCAGAGGCACAGGGCAGCCACTAGGAAGCCACCTTTTCTCCCTGCAGGAATCAGCGGGAGCCCTGGCACCACCTGAACCAACCAGCAATGCAAAGGCTCTGAAAACCCCGCTGTCATTCAAACCACAGGTCACCATAGAACACCAGGGCCCAAAGGCTAACCCTAAATAGGTGACTGCTTCTAAAATATATTTCAGTTAAGACGTCAGATTTAATGTAATAGCTAAACCACCCGGTATACCATTACAAAAAGCACATGTTATACCAAAGATGAGAAAAATCATAGCTTTAATGAGGAAAGACAAGCAACAAATACCAATTCTAAGATGATGATTTAGATGATGGAATTATCTAGCAGGAATTTAGAAGTCACCATCAGGAAAATGCTTCAATAGCAATCACAGACACCCATGAAATATAGAAAAAGCCACCAAAGAAATGCAAGCTACAAAAAGGAGCCAAATGGAAATTGTAAAACTGAAAAATACATGATCTTAAATCATTTTTAAAAACGCTCCAGGGTGGCTCAGTAGTAGAATAATTACGGTGGAGGGCAGAATCAGTCACCTCGAAGGTAGAACAGTGGAATTCACCCAATCTAGGGAGAGAAAACAAACTACACAAACAGGAGCAAAACCTCAGGGGCCCGGGGCAAATTGAAAGGGCTCTAGCAATCACGTCACCCAAGCCTCAGAAGAAGACAGGAGGGTGAGGCTACAAAAAAATACTTGAAGAAATAAAGACTGAAATTTCAAAAGACACAGACCAATACACTCAAGAAGCTGAATGGACCCCAAACAAGATAAACTCAAAGAAACTCACATCAAACCACATCGTAATTAAAATTCTAAAACCAAAGGACAAAGAAAAAACTCCTGAAGGCAACTAGGAGAAGCCATCCCGAGGGGAAAACAACTCAGATGACAACAAAGTTCTCTCATTCGAAACTATGAAAGGCCAAAAGGAAGAGACGTTTTTTAAGTGGTAAAAGAACTATCAACCTAAAAGTCTATGTTCGGTAAAAATATCCTTCGGAAATGCAGAAAAATCAAGACATTGTCAGATAAAAGGTAACTAAGAGAATTTGTCAACTGCAGGCCTACCCTTTCAAAATGGCTAAAGAAAGCTCTCCAAATAACAAAGAAATGGTAACAGAAAAAGGCTTGAAACTGCAGAAAAAAGAAGGAACCATGGATTAGATAATGAAAGAATGAATGAAGTAAAGAGGTTATCTTTCTCCTTCTGATGATTGAATCAAAAATTATACCTCCATCCGATGTGATGCTCAATACTGTCGAGAAGTACTGAAGACAATTGTATTTAAGAAGTGGGAAGGGAACCTAAGTGGAAGTTTTCTATATTGTCACTTGACATGATAAAACATTAATACTAGTACATTTTGATAAGTTGTGTATGTATATTATAATACCTGGAGGAACCATTAAAAAAAACTACGCAAAGTCATATACTCAAAAGCATTATTATAAATAAGTCAAAAGGAAATGCAAAAAGTGTTCATGTAACCAAGTAGAAGGCAATAAAATAAAATATTAAATATACAATAAATTTTTATTTCAGAGTAATCAAAACAGAGGGAACAAACAAAAATTAAATAATAGGATGGCAGGTTTAAGTCCCAACAATAATTTACTTTAATATATTAATTCAAAGACAGAGATTGGCAAGTAGATTAAAAATACATATGATTCAGCCCTGGCCCATTTGGTTCAGTGGTTAGAGTGTCAGCCTGTGGACCAAAGAGTTGTGGGTTCGATTCTGGTCAAGGGCATGTACCTCTGTTGCAGTTCAGTCCCCGGCCCTGGCTGGGGTCATGTGGGAGGCAACCAGTCGATACGTCTCTTCTATATTGATGTTTCTCTCTCCCTCTCTCTGTCCCTCCCACTCTGTCTGAAGATAAATGGAAAAATATCCTCAGGTGAAGATTAAAACAAACAAAAATACCTATGTATATACACACATATGTATGATTCAGCCCTGTCTGGTGTGGCTCAGTCATTACAGCATCGGCCCGTGCACCAAAATGTCCCGGGATTGATTCCCAGTCAAAGGCATGTACCTGGGTTATAGGTTCAATCCCTGGCCTCAGTCCGGGTGTGTGCAGGAGGCAACCAGTCAATACGTCTCTCACATCGATGTTTCTCTCTCTCTCTCTCTCCCCCTCCCTCCTTCCCTTTCACTCTCTCTGAAAATCAATGAAAAAAATATCCTTGGGTGAAGATGAACCAAAAAAATAAAATAAATAATATATATATATATATGATTCAGCAATATACTATAACTAACCCAATTCAGATATAACATAGACAGGCTGAAAATGAAAGGCTGGAAAAAAAAGATATACCATGAAAACATTCATCAGAGAAGGAGTGACCATATTAAATGTCAGGTAAAGTAAATTTCAGAGCAAAGACATTTTCTAGAACCAAAAAGGGGCATCAATAATAATAAAAGAATCAATCCACCAAAAAGACAAAATGATCTTACGCAAGCCAATTTCACTTATGATGCTTTTGCCAAAATTTTTAAATTCATGTTTCCACGTTTCTGATTGATCGAAGTATATCTTTGTGTCTTCCTTCCTGTACGCTTCTCCCCCATCACTACCCTCTCTGGGTTTCTGTCTGTTAATAATGTGGATTTTTTTTTTCGGCCACCCAGATTAAAATCTCACTAATTTTTATCCAATTTTGTGACTTCCATTCCAGTGGGGTTTTTTTTCCCAATTTTTATTCATTTATTTTTGTTACAGATGTTTCTCCTTTTCTCCCCCTAGACACCCTCCTCCTCATCCCAGCCCCCGCCCCCAGCATTGCGCTCTATGTCCCTTGGCTAAGCAGACACGCATATAAGTCCTTTGGTTCATCTCATCTGTCCAGTGTCATCTACACAGAACCCTCAGTTCTGTTCCCAGTGTGCTGGGTCTATAGCTCCGGCTTTCACCTCACTGCCGGCTCACTGGTCTCTGCTCGTTCCAGTCCAGATTAACCATCCCGAGGACAGCACTACGATGGCTATTTTGGCCTCCCAGACCAACCACCTTGTCCTGGTTTATCAGGTTTTCTGAGCTTCCTTGTGGTTCCCTGGCGAGAACGCCCTGCCTCCGCCTCCATCTGGAAAGGACACCGTTCTTCCAGGCTCGCCTCCAACCCCATCTCCCTCGTGCAGGCGGGACAGCAGGCCCTGCACCTGAAGGTGCCATCTTCACTGGGCACGATTTCTTCCTTCCTTAGAATCTGTGTACATACTGTACCTTTCCTAGGACTTGCATATTCCGTCTGGTCTTCACTGACTTGCATCTTTGACTTCTCTCCCCTGAATCCTAAATTCCTAACGGCACCGATGGCTTCATGTTTGCACAGTGCCCCCCACAGTGCCAAGTAAAGTACATTGTACATAGTGAAGTTTTAGTAAATATTTGTTGGCTGATTGAAGAGACCTTATGTCTTTCCACCAAAACATTTCATCTCTCTTTTTTCAACACAGCTTTGAATCCTTATCTTTCCAACCAAAAAGAGTAATGTCGGTTAAACTCAATAGTTGTCCTGGAACTTAAATTATTTTACGTACAGAAAAAAAAATTTTCTATTATGTAAAGCAAAATATACATAAATGCATTTTAGTATTCACACGTATTTATATAAACCTTATGTGCATATAACTTCTAGATGTGTTTATATTTTCAATCTTTTTACCAAATAATAACAATTTTAGTAAAATTTCATAAAAGTAGACATGGAAAAGTTGAATTAGGGGATTAAATACATCCTTAAGATAACTGATTTACACTTTCTTGCTCTTTTAACTATAAAAGAGTTTGCCCTAGCAGCGTGCATAGAAAGAGACCTGAACTGTTAGAAAGAACGGGATTTTGCACAGTTTTTATGTATAGTTTTTCTTGGGGGATCTCGGTGGCCAGCGACCCTCCTCTGATCCCTCAGCCGCTTGCGCTCGCTCTGCCCACCTCGTCTGCGGCAACATACACGGGACCCAACCTCGGTTCCGAGTCCTGACCCAAGCAAACTGCAATCTTGCAAACACAGCCTATATTTAAAATGTGTGCTGGGCGTCAAAGCTATGATTATATCTTACTCCCCACTCTGCACCACTCAGACCACTATTCCCATTCGTGACTGCAATTAACTGCACACATCACTCTTTGTTATTGCTGATTTTCCACCGGTGAATTCCTATGTCAAGACGAACATTAGCATTTGTTTCTGATTAAATCTTTACTGTTTGTGTTTTACAGACCGGACCTCAGGCTCCTCTTTAGACTGGGCTTACAACCTGGGCATCAAACACACCTTTGCCTTTGAGCTCCGAGACAAAGGCAGGTTCGGTTTTCTCCTCCCGGAATCTCAGATAAAGTCGACCTGCAAAGAGACCATGCTAGCTGTCAAGTATATTGCCAAGTACATCCTCAGGCATGCTTCCTAAAACTCTGCCCTCAGCTTGGAACAAGAAGGGCCATTCTTCTCGGTGCCTTCCAGCACAATGTCCATCTTCAAGTATCCCGGAATGAAGCTTCCATGTCACCTGGCTTGCTCATTGAGGCCCCATGTAATTTCTTTTTGCTTTTATTTTCTCTCAGCAGGAACTTAACAAATAGCTTTCAGAGAAAACTTTTCATTACCTTTCTTTGCTCCAAGTAAAGTTCGAGCGCAGCACAAAGTAGTATTTCGACTGTTGTCAAAGGCGATACTCAGGGGTCACAGGCAAAAGGTGGGAACTCTCGGTGTCTCCAGAATCAGAGCTTCACCGTGTGGCTTCATGAAATTCATCTTCTGCTTTTCATAAACTATAGAGTTCATAAAAACTATACATTGCTCTATTAGCACTAATAATCAAGCACTAATGTTTCTCATGTGTTCTGTCAATAAAAAAAATCTTTAGTTTTCAAAATCACATTTGGCTTACGTGTGTATGTTTTCAAATACAAGTAGACATTGTTTCTATTTCACAACAGCAAAAGGATGTCCTAGTGCTCTGGGTGGGAGCTCTCCATGTCCCCTCCTACTGCTGGTAGAAGGGGCTTCTTGCAGTATCACACGAAAAGGAATTTTCTGAGACCCACACAAGAACATCAGTGACATTTATTTGCATGGGATTAAACCCCTGGGTTCCCAGGTCCCATCTCCCTCCGTCCCACTGAGGAGCAAGTCCAGTGTGTCTTCAGCAGAGCTGGGGTTAAAGCCATTGCCCGAGTTTCTGCTCTGTGTTTGCCAGGCCAGCATCTGGCTAGGTTAGTCTGTGTTTTCAGCGGCAGCCCTTTGTGTGGGTCTGCATGGCCACATGAGTGCAAGGACGCAGGAACAAAGCCCAGTGGCGGGAGTGTCGTCCCAGGGACTGAGGTCCTGGTTCGATTCCCAGTCAGGGCACATGCCCGGGTTGCAGGCTCGATCCCCAGTAGGGGGCATGCAGGAGGCGGCCAATTGATGTTTCTCTCTCATCAATGTTTCTCTCTCTCTCTCTCTAAAAAATCAATAAAAACATACAAATATAGATATATAAATATATTAGTATATATAAACATATAAAAATAAATATATATACACAAATAAATATATATACATATATACCTAAATATTTAGCAATCTAAACTAGCTCAGAACGTGAGAACATAAATGTTTCCATGAAACATGTTATATGGGAATTACGTACTCATTCAGATTTGCTCACTCAACTGAGAAAGGACGGAAAGAAATTCTAACCTTATAATTTACATAAATGTTTCTAATCCTGTTGGGTGTATAGACGGAAGAGGTGAAAGAATAATCCCAAATGTTGACTATCATCCTGTGTTCATTCATTTTCAGCTTACAAAGGACACAGAAGTCTTAAGCACTGTTTTATAAGCAATTGTGTAGTTTAACATTTATTTTCTCAATCAGCAGAAAATCATTTGAGTGAGTAAAAAATCAAACATCAATAAGACCATTTCTTATCTCAATTAAATAGCTTTGGCTGGGTCTCTCGGGGTATTTTGCTTCTTTGACTTTATATAAGTTGTGGAAATAAAAAGGTAAAGAAAAATATCCGTATTAAAATTAGAAAGTAAAACTGCACGGGAAAACTTCAGTACTCGGCACTTGAGAACACCTGGTCATTTCTCATTTACCAGTAAAGGCACGTGTACCCGAGTTACAGGTGATGCTGTTTCTGACAACGTCACACACACACACACACACACACACACACTTCTAAATCATTTATTTTCTAGTTTCAGTCAAGAAACATTGTTTCATATTTTGATTTTTTTTCTGTCGATAGTCTAATGGCTGAGACACATCTCCGTTATATAAGAAATAGGGAGGGGCAGGTAGAAAGGGATGAAGGAGAGATCAACGGTGAGGGAAGGAGACTTGACCTGGGGTGGTGAACACACAGTACAACACACAGATGATGTGTTATAGAACTGTACACCTGACACCTGTATAATTTAACCAATGTCACCCCAATAAATTTGATTTAAAAAAAGGTAAAGAAAAGATCCGATTCATTATTTTTGCTAATGTAAATAAATTTGAGTTTCCAATGGGCAGTATAGCTCCAAACTGATGTTAAAATGTCTTATCAGAGTGCCTTCTCCACCCCCTACACCCTGGATGCATTCTGAAACTACCAACGTGCTCATTGGCTAAGCAAACAATAGGCTCGTTGACAAGAGTCTGTTTCTCATGTAACACAAACATCTATGCCTGATTCTCTTTAGAGAAAATAAATAAATAAACAAGGCATTCCCAGAGAAACTTACAACAGGTCACGGAGAATACACAAGTTCTGTCTGTTCTCAGGTTCCCCCCAGCAACTTACTCTAACAGAAGTGTTTCGATTACTCTGGTCATTCCAAATGAATAGACATTAGTTATCATACGTAACTGTTCTCAACACACACCAGAAAACGTCATCATGTAAGGTGATGAAGGTGTTAAATAACCCTCTTGCGATCATCATTTCACAACATGTACATGTATCAACTCATCAGGTTGTACACCTTACATTATACTATGTCTATGTCAGTTGTATTTCAATAAAGCTGGAGGGGAAAAAAGAAAAGATGTGACTCTTATAGATGCTGTGATATTTATAACTGTGCATGTTACAATATTTTGAAGCAACTTTATGTATTTTCACTCAAAAAGTGAGCCCATTGAAATAGGAGAAGCAGTATCCTCCCATTAAGTAAAGAAGGATTTTATAGAGAAGGATACGAAGTTCAGATTACCTCTGATTGTGGAGGATGTGTCCTTTTCATTCAACCAGTGATGTGCGGAAAATGATGAGTGGAACTCAAATTAGGAGTAACAAATATATGCAGCCTTCCAAATTGGAAGGTTTTATTACGGAAAACCACATTAAAAGCAACGACATTTACTAAATAGTGCAGCTAATACGAATATATGGCAATATTTCAAAGATTACGCCTTTACAATTCTTACTCCTTTTCAACACAATTGTACTTCATGATTAAAATAACAAGCCATTTTTCTATAATGAGTAGAAATGAGTCCTAATAGCATCTTGAAAAATCTCAGCAGCACATAGGCTACTGTCAGAAATTCCTTGGGAAAAGCTTTTGGGAGAGTCTTGCATTTCATTGTCACAAAATCCATTATACTGGGACAGATCTCAGCCTGAGTAACATCTCCATGAGGGTTATAATTTTGTCATGAAAATTTACTCTCACATGAACTTAGCATAAAAGGTCTCCGTCCAGAAAATAGGAATGGAAATGGATAGATTATCTCTCGAGCGGCTTTTTTGCTCACTTATCCTTCAATTACAAGCCTTAAGTTCACTGGTGTCAAAAGAAGTTAAACCAGAAATATGTAAAACAGTTTTTGAAATATGTGAGGGAAATTTGACACTTAATGTTCCAAATGCATTATTATTGCCATGGTTTCTGCAGTGTGCTATTGACTCGTTGTACACTGTGGATTCATGAAACAAAGAAAAAAATCTGCCTCTCATTTCATAGATAAAAGAAATAGCAAGAACTCTGGTTTATTTTCCTTTTTTAAATTCTCTGATTTCTTTTTTATTAAATCTCTGCTTTGCACAACTTAAATTTCGAGAGATAATTAAATTTTAATGGGGCAATGGGGAGTGAGAAGGAAAAGTGTTGAGAATTACAATCATGCTGGCAGGAATGATCACACAAAAGGTAACATTTGTGTAACACTGGGTAATTGGAAAATTGCCCTCACCAGTCTGCACTTGCACACAGCTCCATGAGCCCGAGTTGAGGGGAGGCTACTCAGTATCCACATTTTATATATTAGAAACCATGACACAATGTATTAAAGTGACTTGCTTACATTAAGTTGCAAATTGAAACTAGATCTTTACACTTCAAAATTCAAATTCTTTTCATCACACCACACTGTCAAAGGGTCATTGTTCTGCAGAAACAGAGAGAGAGAGGTTTTCTCATGTGGGAGTCGTCAGTGTGGGTCACTCTCCCGGATGGTCTGGACTAAGGGTCCTCACACTTGACCCGATGTGGGAATCGCACGGGAAGCTTGTCCGGATTTCTAAACAACAGGTCTGGGATAAAGCCCAGAATTCTCGTGTTTAACGAGTTCTCAGGTTAGGCTGATGCTACTACTCCAGGAACTGCACTTTGAGAACCACTGATATAAAAGTTCTAAAATTTCCTTCCACTTTTCAATATTTTTTTTCAACAATTTCAGTGATCTTTATTGAACTGTGCAGTTGATTTGCCCAAGTAATTTACTAACACGTTTTAGCTTCAATTAAAGTCGACTGAAAACCAAAAACCTGCGATAAGGACATTTTTATTAAAATTCCCATCATCTATAAAAATGTTTGTAAATACCAAAACCAAGTGTTTGAACACAGATTTATATCTTCCAAATCCACTCAACAGTAAAACAGTTTTAAAACATACATGAATAGCCCAGCTGGTGTGGGTCAGGGGTTAGAGTGTCGGCCTGTGGACTGAAGGGTCTTGGGTTTGATTCCCGGTCAAGGGCACGTACCTGGGTTGCAGGTTTGGTCCCCCAGCTGCGGTTGGGGTCGTGCAGGAAGCAACCAATCGGTGTGTCTCTCTCACACTGATGTTTCTCTCTCTCTCCTGCCCTTCCTTCCACTTTATCTTAAAAAAAAAAAAAAAGAACGAATCAATGGAAAGATATCCTCAGGTGAAGATTAACAACAACAAAATAAATATAGTAAGTATAATAAAGGTCCCTGCTTTAAAATTTTGTTGATTCTACAAATTGTAAGATAACTCGCATTCATCTATTTTTATTATTTATATTTTATATTTTATTTATCAATACATTGAATATTTTAAGTTTTTATGTTAAATGTCATATTCAAATCCATTTTTAGAACATAAAAAATGTGACCTCCACCAAGGCCCACTCCCATTTTTTATGTCCACCGAGGAAACTCTGCTTTGGAATCCGTGGTAAAAAAAATCCCTTGGCAATGAGCAGTAGCTTCCTCAATAGTAAAACCGAGCGAATTCTTACGAAGTCTTCGCAGGAATATTTCCGGAGTGAACAGTGCTCGTGTCGTGAAGCCTGGGCAGAGGGTTCCAGCCGGCGTGGTTCTTGGCTGTCACAGAGGCTCGGACAGCTCATGGGATATCTGAGGACTTGCCTATGTCCAGGTACCTTGCTGCTGCCACTTGATAAAACTCAACTGTATCTGCTCTAATTAATTTTTTATGAAAGCAGAGAAGTGGAGAAAGGTGGTTTTGACAGCAGACTGGGAAAAAGGGGTCAGGAAGAAAGAGGTAATAAAATCAGATTTCCCCTAGCCCCTGCCACAAACGAACACTCTCCCCTAATTATTTAAATATCCTGCCTCATCCTTAACCCACTGTCCATGTCCTTTGGT